GCCTCAAGTGATCGTCCCACATCAGCCTCCTGAAGTGTTGGGGAACTACTGTGTCCAGCTCTTGATAAAATTTTCTTTGAAAACAAAAACCTTCTTTGGCCATTCTGTCCCTCAACAGCATCCCTTCTTTGTTTTCTTTTTTCTTTTTTTGCTGGAAGCTCAGAGGATCATCCAGCATCTCTTCTTTGAGCTCTTATGTCGCTGTGTTTGTCCCCCACCTCACCATGTTTATCATAGAGGACATATGTTTGTTTCTATGTAGCTAACTAAATAAATCCTCCAGGGCAAGACTGATTCATCCAATAGTACATCTTTGTTATCCCCACAGCACATCCTGGGTGACTGGATGCAACTGTAAATATCAGGTCACAAGTAGGGGGGAAGTGACAATTAATATCAAAATCCTATCTCCATGTGTGTCCAAGCCTTTTTTTTTTTTTTTTTTTTTTTTTTTGAGACGGGGTGTTGCTCTGTCGCCCAGGCTGGAGTTCAGTGGTGCGATCTCGGCTCAGTGCAAGCTCTGCCTCCTGGGTTACGCCATTCTCCTGCCTCAGCCTCCTGAGTAGCTGGGACTACAGGCACCCACCACCACGCCTGGCTAATTTTTTGCATGTTTAGTAGAGACGGGGTTTCACCATATTAGCCAGGATGGTCTTGATCTCCTGACCTGGTGATCCGCCCACCTCAGCCTCCCAAAGTGCTGGGATTACAGGCGTGAGCCACCGCGCCTGGCCACGCTTCTGTTTTCTAAGCAATCCCATCTGTGGTCTTTTGTTATAGGCAACCAGAGAAAAATAATACAACTTCGCATTCCCCTCATTTCATGCATACTGATTACTCTGCCGATGTGCACATCCCTTGACTTTTGGCCTGGTAAACACTTCTTGATCTCCAGTGTTCAACTCCAATGCCTGGTCTCCTCCATGAGGCCTTCCCAGCTAACCATGGGCATCAAACTTATCATGTGGGATTATATGACACCATGACATCTCCTGTAGTTAGCTGATGGCCTATGCCTTCACAGACAGTGAGTTCCTGGGAACAGGGACATCTCTGACTCAGCCCTGAGGCTTAGCCTAATGCTCATCAGAGAGAAGATGATTAATATTTGATGAGGGAAGAATGGAAGGAAACAACAATAATAATAATGACTAAGACTTACTACATCTTTGCTACGTGCCAGATGCTGTTCTAACTATTAGAATTAGTATACTTGTATTATTATTATCTTCCCAATCACCGTATGAAGTAGATAATATTGTTATCCTCATTTTACCACTGAGGGCAGGCATACTAAGATAAGAAACTTGCCCAAGGTCATGCAGAACCAGTGAGATAACGTACAGGAAGGCACTTTAATTGCAGAGTACTGCAGCCTCT